TTCCTTTAAAATGATAAATGATATTATAAAAATATCATATCATATGAATTTTGTTTCATTATAACAAATTTAAAACCAAATTATTTTTTATAAATAGTGAACAATGAACAGTACCGTGAACAGCGAACAGTATATCGATGCACTGCTACAGTAACGTGAACAATGTATCGATGCACCCAAAATTTCGAACAGTAAATTCCGAAAAATACATATAACTCATAAAAATTAACCTTTCATCACTATAAAATTTCCATTTTTTGTTTCCAACTTTATTCAACAAAATAAATTAAACATTATTAATTACATGACATTATCTAATTCAAATTCCATTATAGGATGTCTTACTGATATTGAAATATACTACTCGATGCTTGATGTCACTTTGAACTCTTTATTCCACTATTGGCTTTTTACCTACACATAAAAATCATCACACGCTAAATATAAACTTAGTGAGACAATTTAAAATAGTAAACAGTGCAATACAATTCATGTATGAATTTCAATGTCAAATTCAAAATGCCATAAAATCATGTTACCAATATATCCAATATTTTTCCATGTTCAAAATAAGATAAAATCTCTTACCATTTATCCCATAAGCTCGTAAGTTTATTTTACTAAATTACTTACCATTTAATCCCATAAGCTCGTAAGCATATTTTACCAATATCCTTACCATCCTTATCATCTTTCAAAGTCAAAGATGAATTAATTTGACTTTGATTTCTGAAATTCCCCATGAAATTTCAAAACTTGCATTTTAGTCACTAAATTCCACTGTTTCGGTTAAATCTGAAAAATTGCACATTTCCAAACAAAATTTCTCTGATCTAAAATATTAAAATAATATTTCCAACCATTTTATAACATCCTTCAAATTTTTGTAAAATTCCAATTCGATCTGAAATTTCGATTCCTTATCGGCTTTAACCCTTTCTAATTTTTCTTTACTAAAATTACAAATCCAAAAATATGATTTCTATAAAACCCCACTCTCAATAATAAACAATGTATTTATGAAATAAAATCCTTTTTAGAAAATTTATCACTTAATTCCCTAAACTTTTTCCCAATTTTCTACTTTGACCATCAAACTTTCAAAATTTGCATTTTGATCATTATTTAAAATTTTGGGGTATTACAAGGACCACCATGAAGATACTTCATCAAACACTACACTGCGAGACAAGTAGCGTTTTCTAGTTGTAAGATCACTACATCTCCACCTTTTTCTCTGGCTAGCATACCCTAAAAAAATACATCTAACAATATTTTTCCATTTTGTTACGTAAGTGGTCAGGTACAAATACATAGCAAACACTTCCAAAAACTCAAAAATAACTAACTGTTGGTTTCATTTTCCATAATTTTCAAAAGGTGAAAAAATGTAACCTTTGTTAAGGAAGTATGTTGATCACAAAAACTACAATTTTCATTGCTTTTACTAAAAAATGACCCGAAACATTTCTTGTATGAAATATACCTCGACATATTTTTTTTCAAATTTTTATTTTTCCTTTCGGATATACCATTTTATAGTGGAGTGTTAGAACATGTGAATTGATGATGTACTCGACACTCTTGAAGAAAGTTTAAAAACTTGTCTGAAGTGTATTATCCTCAATTACTTGTGTGAATACAACGAATCTTTTTGTCAACTTATGTTTCTATAATCCCTTTAAATTCTTTAAACATTGAAAACTTCTTAGATTTTTCCTTCATAAAATATATCCACACAAATTTGGAAAAATCATCAATAAAGGTCACCATGTACTTTATTCTACCAATAGAGGCTTGTTTAACAGGTCCAAAAACATCTGTGTGGATCAACTTTAATGGCTCATATGTTCTATATTTATACTCTTCATGTGGTAATTTATATGTTTTTCCATACTGATAGTCTACACATAGTGTCTATTCTCACATTGAGTTGTCAAAATTCTTTTAACATTGACTTTATCATCATCATATCTTATTGGGAGTAGCTAACATGACTCAACTGCATATGCCACAAGTTTATTGTCTCATTCATTCTTGTTTTGTCAATATATGCAGTTTCTACAGACATCACGTAGATAGACTCCAATCTTCATCCTTTTATCACATGATCTTCTACAATCTCAAGGTTATGGTATACATTTACATCTTGTGGACCAAACAAAATAACATGATTTGAAGATGTCAATTGTGCTACTGAAAGAAGATTTCTCTTCATTCCTGGCACATGATAAACATTGTGAAGTGGCATCTCAGTATTATTATTCTAGGGAGAGACCAATGCATTACCAATATGTGATATTGGTAACGTTGAGTTATTTGTTGTGACCACCACACAACTTCTCTTGTATTTTGCTAGATTATGTAGTTTATGTTTATCACCTTTCATATGGTTTGAACAACCCGAGTCAATGGTCCAATCATTTTTATAATCAATTTTACAAGTTGTCATTGTAAGAGCTAGCTCCCCCTCTTCTATTGCGAAGAATGCCACTACATTACATTATTCTTCATTGTTGAAAGTAACAACATTACTCTCTACGAATTTTTTCTTTGGTGAACAAGGTTTTTTCCATATGACATTTCTTCCAACAGTTGTAATACTTTCCTTCAAACCTTTTATTGTTTTCATGGTTTTGGAACTTTCCATTCACAAGAGTTTTCTTTTCCTTGATTTCTATTGGACCTACCATTGTCACGCTGCTTGAAATTTTGTTTACCTCTATTGGCATAGAGCGCATTTTCTTCATTTTTTCAATGATACTCCTCCCATTTGTATAGCTAATACTTCTTAGCTAACAAATTTTTGAATTCTACAAGTGATGATTGATTTTTCCATCATTGTATAACAGCCACAAAACTCCTAAACTCTGTCTTTATACCATATATAATGATATATTTCATCTTATTATCATCAGTAGGAGTTGTTGGGTCCAACTCAGAGATCTCTCGGTATAATAACTTTACTTTGTGAAAGTATTGTTTGATTGTGATATTAACTTCTTTCATAGATAACAATTCACTCTCTAAAAGTTGGAGCTTTACATCATTCATCTTAGAGAACAACCTCTAAAAGTTGGAGCTTTGCATCATTCATCTTAGAGAACAACCTCTAAAAGTTGGAGCTTTACATCATTCATCTTAGAGAACAACTTGGCGAATATTTCTCAAGCTTCATTTGGGGATTTGACACTATGAATGTGTTCTAACATATATTTCTCCATTGTTGTCTTCATAGCAAACATTGCTTTGCTTGTTTTTATCTTACATTTTCTTAGTATGCCATTTACATCATCCACGTCTAGTTGCTCCACTTCATTATCATTGACAATCTCTCATAGGTCTTGTCCTTGTAAATATTATATCATGCAAGTTGACTATGTATTGTAGTTGTCATTGTTAAGATTCCTCATTATGCCAACGACATGTAAGTCAGTCATATTGTCAACAAAGAATTATCAAAAAATTAAATGAAATAGTGAAAGTAGTCTGTGAAAAATACATCAGGTAAGTACCAAAGAAAGAGAGGTGGATCACACAGATTGCTTAAATACCAAGTCTTTCAAGTATTTTTCTAGACATGCATTGTCACACTACCACACTACTTTAGCAACAACCTAACAACCCTCGCCAAAACTCTGGTACCAATTATTGAACACCCCACAAACCAACAAAGGCTCAAAACAATTAGAGGAAGAAATGAATAAATGGAAGATAATACTTGATTTAATTATGGTATTTTGAAAGTTAACATAAAGCTTTTTTATATAGGCACTTGAATTACATAACTTTCAAAACAATTAAATTTTACAAATTAAACTTAATATTAATTGAAATAAACACGTAAACTAAATCAAATATGTATACGTTGGTGTTGATATTTCAACATAGGCTTTCTTTACACCTTTTAATGTGGTAATGAAGTATTTTTCATTGTTAAATAGAAGACATCTTAACTTTTTCGGCCAGTTTTAAAATACAATGAGGAAAAATGGAGAAATATCCATATTTGAGGTTGGCATAAAAGGTAACTCGTCGCCCTTAAAAAATCGATTGATGAGTGGAGGTATCTTTGTTGTGGTAGAAGCAATGTAGGGTATTTATCATATCGTGCTGAGAAAAATGCATCTCGACACTTATAGTAGAAACAAAGTAATTCATTTTATCGAGAGGGGATCTTACACTCTTAAGCAAACTCACAAAACAATGGCAGTTAGAGTGTAGGACAACTCCTTCTCGTTATGAATTAGACGGATGTATCTCAATACTTTAAGATGGAAACTTCTCAACTTCATATAAAGTGATGATGGAATAATATATATTCTAAAGATGAAGGCATCCCAACATTTTTCGGATAGTGCTGAGAAGAACTTATATAAGATGAGAGACATCTCAACGCTCCCGATCACTTTATGTGGGACAACTCAGTTTGCAACAACGCACAACAAGTATAATAGAGAGATCTCCATGCTTCAAAATTTTGTAAGCGTGTCTGAGACTTCTTTACCTTGGTAGAAGTGAAGAGTTGAAATTATTCTCGCTAATATAAAAGACATCTCGATGCAGTGTGTTTGCATTGTTATAAGACAAAAATAAATAAACTCTTAAAAGTAATATTTTTTTTGAATTTAAACTTGTTTATTTACACTCTAGTTAATCTTAAAATTTAATTTTTTAGACGTTTATTTTTTTTTAAATGATGAAAAATAAAAAAATTATAAATCTGAATTAAACCAAATCAAGCCAAAATTTTTGGTTCTTATGTAATTCGATTTTGATTTCAGTTTCATTTTTAAAAAATCGCATAGTACGAGTTGATTAATATTTTATTAAAAATTAAACTGAACTGAATATATCCCCATTTAGATGTAAGAATGGTAGTGAATCAGATATTTATAAATTTTAAATTATTCTAATATATAAATCTGTTTAAGAGCTCAACTGAAACCGATATTAAATCTTCATGAGGCCTGTCGGCCCATTTCCATGTCGAATGACCCAATTGTATCGGCATAGAACCAAAAGCCATCAAAGCTCAAAAGGGCTTTCGTTTTCCACACTGTACCGCTCTCGATCTGTCTTGAAGAAGAAGAAAACCCTTTTAAAATACCCACAGGGAAAGAGAGTTGAAAACCTAGTTTTTTCAATTGAGGAAAGCTAGTAATTAAGGCGGTGGCGTAGAGGAAAATGTTTAGGAACCAGTACGATACAGATGTGACGACATGGAGTCCGGCGGGGCGGTTGTTCCAAGTGGAATACGCGATGGAAGCCGTTAAGCAAGGCTCCGCCGCGATTGGGCTTCGATCTAAGACCCATATCGTTTTGGGTTGCGTCAACAAGGCTAATTCCGAGTTGTCTTCTCATCAGAAGAAGATCTTCAAAGTCGACGACCATATCGGCGTCGCCATCGCGGGTCTCACCGCCGACGGCCGCGTTCTATCTCGGTATATGAGGAACGAGTCCATTAACTACAGCTTCACGTATGAGTCGCCGCTTCCTGTGGGCAGACTTGTCGTCCAACTTGCCGATAAAGCTCAGGTCTTTTTCATCTATTGGAGTTCTAATTTTTTTTTAATTTCTTTAAAATGAAAAATGAGCTTCATTTTGAGTGTTCCTAAACTGATGGGAGATTTTGATTTTTGGGTTTTCTTTGAGAAATTGCAATTGAAAACCCTAGTTAGTGGGTCTCTTCTAAGGCATTGAAGTAAATAGAACTGCAAAATTAAGCATAAATAAAATGGTAATTTACTTAACCAGAATATGTTCTTAACCAAGTTTACCTCACAGTTAAAGCTTTTGTTTAGGAAACATTGATAGAATAAATAATGTGGAATTAAAAGTAAATTGAACCTCCCATTTGCATTACTGCTGAACTGATCCATGATTAATATCCGATGTTCAGTCTGGAATAGAGGGAAATGAAATGGGTAATGAGGATTAGTATGATACAAACAGAAAAAAAAAAGGGGGGGGGGGAGGGGAAGTTGTTGATGAGGGTTTGACTGTTCTTTGCTTCAAGTGATTTGGTCAGATAACAATCTCGTGTGTGCTTTTTGCTTCTGACTGAAAACCTCGGGGTATAGAGCAGGCTGATTTGAAAAGATTGTTGGAGTTATGAGTTCCAATTACAATTTTAATACCTTGATATGCTTCTGTTACTCGAATGATTGGAAGTATAATAGGACAGAAGTGCAATCGAGGTTTGAACAGGCTAATGGTTTCTCTGCACCCAAATCAGAGAGCTTGGCATACCTTTGTGTGCTCGATTTTAGTAGTGCTGCTGGTGTTATGTGATCAAGTAGCATTTATTTGCAACTTTGTCATGATTACTTGATCTGTATATTTGTTGATGCTAATGTTGAGATTGAATGATTTCAAGTCTTTGAGATTGGTTATAGTCGGTGGCTTTAACTTGTGATAGGCTATCAAATGGTTTCATATTCCTGTATGATAGCAATATAAAAGTTGAAGAAGCCCTCTGTTTTTCAATCTTTTGCTTTGTGTCCTTACTATTCTGTGCTTACCTATTGGGTTTGCCACTGAATTTGGTATACTACTCAACAGTATCAGTGGCATGATCTTAGGGTATGTTTGTTTGGCTTTAATTGATTTTCCGAAAAATGAATTACTGGAACTAGAAAATGAATTATTGGAATTTGAATTCTGAAAAATGAATTACATTTTTGGAAAATGTTTTCCGTAAAATGAATTACATTTTTCTGAAAAACATTTGGAAAACGTTTTATAATGTTTGGAAGATGTTATTTAAACATTTTTTCCACTAGTTGAAGAGTTTTTTAAAAATTATTTATTACAAATATTAAATATAATAAATAATATTATTATCATAAACTTAATATTATTTTTAAAATATTAAAATAATTTATTTATTATTAAATATTTTTTTATAATTTTATTAATAAAAAATATATTTTGTATATTTTAGTGAAATAAATATTAAAATTATATTAATTATTTATTAAAGTAATAGTGTTATATTATGTTTTAAAAATATTAATTAGTATTTTAAATATCTTTATTAAAATATTATTTAAATATAAATATATATTCATTATTAAATATATAAAAAAATTATTTATATTATTAAAATAAAATTATAATATCTTTATTATTAAAATATAATTGATTATTATATAATATTTAATATATATATTATAATATTAATAAATAAACAATAATATTTTGATGAAAATGATATTAAATATTTATTAATATTTCATAAATAAAATTATTTTGAGTATTTATTCTTTTAAGTGAAAAGTTCGGAAAATGAATCCGTAAGTCATTTTACAGAAAACACAAAGGAAATTCTGTTACTAGGAAAATGAATTACATTCCGGAAAACCAATTACGTGAAACAAACACAGGAAAACATTTTCCGGAAAACGAATTACGTGAAACAAACACGGGAAAACATTTTCCGGAAAATGAATTACATGAAACAAACACGGGAATTCGGGGAAAACCAATTCCTTAATTCTAATTACGGCAAACAAACACACCCTTAATTCAGTTGCATATTTGGGGATCACTTTTAACCCCAATTCAATGAAATGCAGTTGGTGCTAAAGATGGCAATTTCCTGTGGAACACCAAACCTACTAACATAATAGGGTTATTGTTTTGTACAAATTGAAAAGGGGAAATGCTTGAGTTTGTTGGCAGGTGTGTACCCAGCGCTCTTGGAAACGACCTTATGGCGTTGGCCTGTTGGTGGCTGGCTTGGATGAATCTGGGGCTCATCTCTATTACAACTGCCCGAGTGGAAATTACTTTGAGTACCAGGCTTTTGCCATTGGATCCCGCTCACAAGCTGCAAAGACATACTTGGAACGGAGGTTTGAGAACTTTGCAGATTCCTCTCGGGACTATCTGGTCAAAGATGCACTTATGGCAATAAGGGAAACCCTGCAAGGAGAAACTCTAAAAAGCTCAATATGTACAGTTGCTGTGGTAGGGGTTGGGGAGCCGTTCCATGTTTTGGATCAGGAAACTGTACAACAAATGATTGATGCCTTTGAGATTGTGGGAGAGCAAGAAGGACCTGCTGCTGAACCGGATGCTTCTGCTGTACTAGAGGCTGCAGCTGAGCAAGGTGCTGCTGCTGCTGATCAGGGTGGTTCTACAGACGAAGGTGTGGCCCCAATGGATATTTGAGGATACTCGGCGCGTCAGTGCATATCCTCGTCTTTAGATAAGATTTTCTAGCATCTGTTTGTGGATTTGAGTGTGTTCGTGGTAGACATTATTGTGATGGATATTTCTTTCTTTATTTTCCAAACTATCTTTTTACCATTGCTGCAAACATGCAAATGACCTGAAATTAAGTTTTACAGTTTTACTCGAGATACAATCTTTGGTGTTAGATTACTTGAGTGTGTTATTACTGAATTTGTGAAATTTGATGCTGACATGAGGATCTGTGAACGGCATTTTTTAGATTTATAAATATTAAAAGATTGTTTGATCATTTACATAATTTTTTTATTAAACGAGCGGCATTTCAAACGTATTTGAGTTATTATGGATAAATTATTGCTCCCCTAGTAGAATTCAAAATGCTTGAATTCGAGAAATGTATTTTAGCAGGAAAATTGTATGCAATTTGCTTTACATTTGATCATTTTATTTTATAACCAAAGCATGCATGATCCTTGGCTTTATAAGGGGAAACCTTGGATTTATTCACCATTGTTTATTACAACTACCAGAAGTTCTGGGCCTTGGACCACTTGCAATCAATGTATAAGCACAGCAAAGCCCGTCACCTGCTTCACACTGGAGTGGTTCATATTGAGGCGGACCAATTATACGTAGAAAACAAGCATCTTGGATACCAAAGAACACTAGACATCAAAATACATTTCAACAGCAATGAACTGAGTATCCGAGTAACCATACGAACAGTATAGTTTTATAGCTAAAATGAAGCCATGATTCTATCCTAAAACATGTCCGGCATTATTCGGAAAAGAAAAAGAAAAAGAAAAATCATCCCTCTGCGTGTACTTGAACATAACAACAATTTTTCCTTGATGCCAAATCTCAAGGCTTTTGGAACAAATAGAAAGCAACTTGTGAAAACAAAAAGATCATTTTTGAGAAGACTTCTGTTCTTTATCTGGTAGGATATTGTCTGGAAGAATTAGTTCTGGGGGAGTTTCACGGACAACGCCAAGCATCGAGTCATACTCTTCATCCCTATGAGCAAACTTCTTGCGTAGAACTTTCTCAAATTCAATTTCATCGAAGGGTTTTGCATTCTCAGCTGCATGTACCTGTGCAAGGTTGGTATAATTGGTGGCTGACTGGGAAATAAATGCTATCTCTTCATCAGTTAGCTTCCTCAGGAACTTAGCTGGATTACCTCCCCAGACCTAACAGTGAAGATTAAACACCAATCATAAGGTAAAACTTCTAAGTACATTTTCTCAACGCCTGGCACAAAATATTAATTCAAGCAGCAGAACAGTCTTTAAGTATTACACATGTTACCAAAATGTATCCTAACAGTGACACCTGTTTTAACTTTATACTTGCGGAACCCAAGTGTTTTTTATTTCTTTCCAAGTTTGACAACTTCTCATGCATGTTGCTAGTTTATTTTTTATTCATACATGCTACCATAATAAGAAATGAATGTGCCTTTCATAAATGATAAACAGATAAACCAATAAAGTCGTCAAATATTTTCAAGAACATGGCATAAGAACTAAGTTTCAGAAAAATTGGAGTTCACAGTACCTCCCCAGCAGGGATTCTTGTATTCTGTCTCACGAGGGCTCCAGCAGCAACCATAGCATGTTTCTCCAAAACTACACCATCAAGAAGTGTTGCTCCCATGCCAACAAATGATTCATCCTCGACAGTACAGCCATGTAAAACAGCACTATGTCCTGCTCATTTCGATGTTTCAATCATAGCCTATTAATGGAACTTTTAATCAGGTTAATATACATGAAATTTATGGCCGGTGCCACTTTACTCACCGACAGTAACATTGTTTCCAATGTTAGTTGGTAGCACTTTCCCACTGAGATTAGACTTTGCCACATGCACAAGGGAGTTGTCTTGTATATTAGTTCCAGATCCAACACTAATGCTGTTGACGTCCCCTGTTCAAAGCAAAACTAGGATAATATTATCAGCAAAAACTAGTACAAATAATGTCAAAGAAATGCCCCTAATACCCCTCTACACATGGAGTTTAAAAGATAGCGTGGTAGGGTGTGATCTCAGGAACCATCCTCTTCTAGAGATTATAATACTTGAGAGTCAAAATCAACTACCATACATTAAAAATGTATTATAAATGGGAGATGCCCTGAATCTACATTGTAGAAAGGCTTTGCTATGTGGTATGACTGCAACAAATCAATTTTCAACTTTCTCATTAGAATAAAGAGTTAACTGCAGTCACACATATGGTGCATATACTACACGTACCAGGGGATTTCATTTCAGGAAAGTATATAATTGTCTGAACTCTGAAAGCAACTTTTGTAACCAAAAATTCTATCTCCTCCATATAAATAAACACCAATTTATAGTTGAGGAGAAGAATGATGATAAATACTCCAAGCAATAAATATGTTCTATGGGAGAATAAGTTTTCCATCTTATGCATGGTGGCTGTACTTAAGGTTTTAAGAAGCATGTGGAGTTGCAGATATGAATCTGGTGGATTTGACAAGGTATAAGGTACCAGTCGCAAGCATCCCACTTGTGTGTGTAAATAAATTATTAATGAAAGCTAATAGGCTAAGGAAATAGTAATGCGGCAAATGCCTATCAGGAAGACAATATATCACATCATTAATAGAAAATAAAATTAAAAAAATACCAACAATTTATAGTTGAAACCAATAGTTAAATTTACAAGTTACATTCCTCTAAACCAATTGTTAAAAGTTGAAACAATTTATATCCCTCAGAAAGACTGGCCATTTCTTCTGGACAAGTGATAAGACTTAATCTCACTATCTTTATTCATAGTTTTCAAACTTAAACATTAACAATACCTATTTGTTTCCAATAGTTAAATTTACAAGTTACATTCCTCTAAACCAATTGTTAAAAGTTGAAACAATTTATATCCCTCAGAAAGACTGGCCACATTTCTCTGGACCAATGTGATAAGAACTTAATCTCACTATCTTTATTCACATAGTTTTCAAACTTAAAACATTAACAATACCTATTTGTTTCTTATGTCACCATTTAAATGTTCATTGGCATAGTCTTAAACCTTTGATATGCTAATTTATAGGCACGAAGTCAGATACCATCCTTGAATAACTTTAGTAGACCTGTAGGACATTATCAAACAAACACAACAAATTAGGCATAACATGAAGGATCTTACCCCTTAAAACACACCCATACCAAATCGATGATCCCCTTCCCACCTGAACATCGCCAATGACAGATGCGCTAGGGGCTACAAATGCATCCTTGTCAACCAGAGGAGATTTGTCAAATACGTTCATCAAAGTCCGATGCCTAGAAACTAAGAAAAGAACAAAAAGAAGCACGTGAAAACCCTATCTTTGATTACAAAATACAATGATAACAAACAGCCAAATTTCACACAAATTAGCAAAGAAAATAACCAGCACAGGTCAACTAAACAAAGTTATTAAAGATTCTGTTGGAAAGGGGAAAAACAACACCCAGAGTTTAAATCATAACTACACTTGGTGCTTTCATACGTAGGCAGTCCAATAGTTTCACAACAACATCAAAGGAAATGTAAGCTATAAAACGAAAAGAAATTATTTGGTAATTGAAATCAGTTGAAGAAACCCCACAGGTTGAATCCATATTTCAATTCGTAACTAGCAGATATTAGCTTAGGAGTGGATTTTGAAGATGGAAAAAAGAAACGAAGCAGAGAGAAATGGGATGAAACTCACGTTGCTCTTGGAAATAGTAGTTGCCTTGGAGACGGCAGCCGAGGCGATCGAGAGCCTGGCCAGTCTCGCGAATCCAGAATCCGACGGTGTAAATGGCTTTGCCAAGGCTTCCCATCTTCAGCTTTGATCGGTGATCTTTGGGGTTCCCAGGTGAGCGAGTGATTGGGAAATAAAGAGCTCCAAATGATGATGCTCTTAGACCTTAGTTTAGTGGTAAGACTGGTAGGGTTGAATATCATGGGCCTGACTCAGCCCAACTATAGCTGTTCACAAATCAACCGCGTCTGTTGAGTAATGTTTTTTTAGAAGTAAATTATAATTTTATCCTTACTAATGCATAGACTCTACTTAGTTATGTATTTATATTTTATTTTAATAATTCAATACTAACATCTTAAAATTTTTATTATTTTTCATTATTTATTTTAATTGTTTAAAAATAAATAAATGTTATGATTTATATATTAATAGTGAGTTATATAAAATATATATTTATTATAATTATAATTATAATTTATATATTTTATTATAGTTTAAATTGATATAATTTAAATATAATAATATTTTTAAATTTATTATAGTTTAAATTTATGTGATTCATATATAAGTGTAAATATAATTTAAATGTTATATTTTTAATTTACAACATAATGTCTATAATATTTTAAATTGATATAGTTTAAATTGATATGATTCATATGTAAGTGTAAATATAATTTAAATACTATATTTTTAATTTACAATATAATGTCTATAATAGATATTTTATCTTTTTAAACTTATTTTTTAACTATAATCTCAAACAATTAAACTTTAATATGTACTTTTTATAATATTTTTAAAAATTACCTTTTAAAAGTTATATCAAACTGATATGTAGAAAGTAAGAGAGAACTTTTGTTTCTTAAACAAACATAACGCTCAAAGTTGAGCGATTAAAGAAAATATTTTTTATATAATTTCTTGTAAATAAATAGTGCTTAATTGGAACGAAATTATTACTTGAAAATTATATAACAAAATTTTATAGACTTATTTAAATGTAAATTTTAAAATAAGTGCTTAATTGAAATAATTTTATATTGAAAAATATTAACTGAAATAAAATTTTATTTAAGAGTATATTTAATTATCACCTGATTCGAAAGGATTAATTTATCAAATAATTTTTTAAAAGATAATCATAATTTAGAAACTTAATGTGTAATTTAACCCTTTTAAAAATAAAATAAAATTTTTACAATTAATTCCTTTAAAAAACTATTATAAAATATGAATTCAGTTTTAGTAATTAAGTTTTTCTTTAAAGTTTGCCTTGGTTTAAAATCTAATTCTTGTGTGCGATTGATTCTTCCACCTTCACGATTTAAAAATATTTTGTAAGGAAAATTTAGCGCAAGTCGTATGTCGAAACACACCGATACACTAAAACATATTATTAACTAAATTGTACTTATTAAATAAATATTAAAAAGATAAATTACACATTTTATACTTAGATTATCATTTTTGTTTCATTTTTATATCTGATTTTTAATTTTTTTTAAACCATTAACGGTAATGTATATGTGGGACATGTCATTTTCTTAATTTTTAATTACTACATCACATTTTTATACTATTTTTTAGTTAATTTTATTCAACCAATTAGGTGATAACACGTGTCACCGCATATGGGGATAAAATAGATAAATATCATTCTTACTCATAGTGTGAATTGAACGTGGATCTTTTACATGAGAAACAAATCAATCAACCATTGAGTTAAGTTAGTTATTTGAATAAATTTCATCACATTTGTATTTAACTTATATAACAGTATCACCGCAAAAATAAATATTCATTTATGATTATAAGATTCAAATATGAGATACTTTAAATTAATGAACGAAAGCTTAGTCACTCACCTATAGTGTGAATTTTATATTGAACTTAATATTTACTTATATCATTATTAAATTAAAAGACTAATTTTTCATTTTATTTGGAAATAAAAAATAATTAAATAATTTATATATGTTAGAAAAATTATATGAAATCGTTATAAAAATATATTTATAATACTATAAAAATATTTATTTAATTTTTAAAATTATATAATTATTTATTTAAAATAATTTTATTTTTTAATTATTTATATAATTTAAAATTTGTAGTCAATTATATGATTTAGTATTCAACTATCACTTTGGTTTAGTATAATATTATTTAAAATTAAATAAATAATTTTAAAATAATATTATTTCAAAATAATAAAAATTAAGTAAATATTTTAAAATACTTTTAATAATATTATAAATATTTTATTTAGAATAATTTAATATAAATTTTATAAATATATTTAGTGTATTTAGCTGATCCTATGCCCATATGTAATGGGGTAAGGGGAAGGTAGGATAGTAGGCTGCCCCTAACACCGGGTTGAGAGCAGCTTCCGTGGGAGACCTCCAGCAGTCAGAATTATGAATAATTATTTAATTATTTTTTTATTTCCAAATAAAGTAAAGATTTATTCTTTAATTTAATAATGATTTAAGTAAGTATTAAATATGATATAATAAAATATATTCACATTACAGTTGAATGATTAAGTTTTCGATCGTTAATTTAAATTGTCACATATTCAAATTTTATAATCATCGAAAAATATTGATTTTGTGATAATACTGTTATATAAGTTAAATACAAAATATGATGAAATTAACGTAAATGGCTATCTTAACTCAATCATTGAGTGCTTTGCATTTCATGCAAGTGGCATAGGTTTAATTTATGCTAAGAGCATGAATAATTTTTTTATTTTATCGTCATAGTTGGTGATATGTGTCATCATTTATTTGATTGAATAAAATTAATTAAAAATAGAGAAATAGAAAGGTGATGTGAAAATTAAAAAAATAAGAAAATTGATACGTCATACCTCAACAGTATTTTTGTTAATAATTATGAAAAAAAATTAAATATTATAAAGAAATAAAATTGATAGTATAAATATTAAGCGTATAATATTTACTTAATAAAGATAATCTAATTAATGATATATTTTGATGTATTATTTTAATAATATATTACTGTGTACGACATATGCTTTACACTCATCCAAATTTTTAATCCGTTGAAACTTCATAAAGGAAAATTCTCGTACACATTTTGGTTAGGTGAGGGTTATGTATAATATTCGACATTCTAGAAACTAGATGAACGTGGACTTGAATGCTATCCAAATACTTTATACGTTTTCATACGAATATTTAATATTCTAGATATTTTAAGGGAAAAGTACATAAATGGTTCCTGACTATAGGATATTATTTTATTAAGTCATTTGATTATTAAAAGTTACAAAATGATTTTTTGACTATAGAATGTTGATTTATTAAGTCCATCGACTATTAAAAATTACAAATTTATCACATGACTATTGATTATATTCCAAATTTGTTCTTTTCTGTTAAACAATTAACGATTGTCTAAGTTGGATGTTAACATGATGACTAAAATATGATAGTCATTTGAGAGTTTGTAACATAATGAATAGTCGAGGGACTTAACAAAATAACACTATACAATCAGAGAATCATTTTGTAGCTTTTAATAATTGAGGGATTTAATAAAGCAGTATATTATAATTAGGGGACCATTTATATACTTTATCCGTATTTAAATTTTAAATTAACTATTTGAATTGTAGTTTGATATTAAATTAATACATAAAAAAGAAGTTTTTGTCAATAAATTTATTGTAGCACAGATGATTAGGGTATTTGCTCTCTCTTTTTAATGAGAAAATTTTGTGCGCCAATTGTTATTGAATTTTATTTACATATAAACGGATTATTTTGGTTTTCTTATCAATTCTGCAAATCAATTATCCATATATTATTTGAAGTTTTTGTTGGAAAATTTAGATTTGCACAAACACAAAACACGATGACTTACGACAAATAAAACAGGGTTCAGATTTTATTGAATGACAGAAAGTATATACTTCTGAGAAACCACATCAACAGCGGCACGGGCAGCCGTCCCTCGGAGTCAGTTCCTGAATTATTCAAAACAAAAAAGATCCAACTTCGCTCAAACAAAACGTCTCAGCCCTTCTTCCAAAGTGGTGTATTTCACTTCGGGGTATAGCTCAGAAGCCTCGAATCCGATGGACGGTTCGATCTCAAAGTTGGCGCAGTCACCGTTGACAAAGATCGAGTGACTGAGTGCCAAGAAAAGATTGACCGGCATTGGAGACTCTGCAAGCGTTCGATGAAATGCGTGAATAAAATAACAAAGCATATAAGATTTCCAAATCAGAGGCAGGGGATTTTATCAACCTTGGATCTGTTTGAGCATTTGTTCCTCTGGAACGTATGTTTTGTCAAGTGTTTTGCCAATCATTTTCTCCCACAGGGCGACGAGCTCGTTGTACGAGTAGGTGTTGTTGGGAGGCCTGATGAAGAGGGTCTTGTTCAATGTTCTCGGGTCGTCGACGGTCTTCACAGTGTAGGTTGCGATATCGGCTTCGTGGTTTATAACAACTGCGAAATGGTTGTGATTACATATATATGTGGTTTGTTCAATCTCAAAAACCAAGGGTTCATCAACTTTGTGATCATAATTGCTTATAGTTTACCTTTAGGATTTCCATCGCCTAGGATAACCACCTTATCTCTCGGAGGAGAGGCGGTTCCCGGCGGTGCCACCGACAGAGATGGAAGAATGTAGCCTGCAAAGCAGTTGGAAGCCACATAAGTGTAGGGGATCCCTTCGACCTCGATGGCACGACGGATTTGAGCCCTGACTGCGTACATCGATTTGGCTGGCTCGACCGCAGTATTTAGGTCCGAGTCCAACCCAAATTCCGATGGGAAAAATCTCTGATTCGTGATTATTAAAAAAAACCCCATTAGAATGGAATGTAGAAATTGAGGAAAAGAGGAAGAGTAAACCTAAACTGAGAAAGAAAGGCCAACCTTAACGTTACCAGCTTCTTTAATGGCAGCAATGATCTTAACTTGATCTTCTATCTGCTGACCGACACCGACGGTTGAAATCACGACGTCAACGTGCTTTATCGCCTTCACCAAACTCTCATGATCATAGAGATCCCCCTGTGCATAGAATGCCCATAAAGTCAAAATAAATAACATAAATGCACAGCCATGAAATATGAATATGCATGTGAAGAGGTCATAGACTTACGATCAAGATTTGGACCCCTAAGTTCTTGAAGTTGTCGATGATTTTACACTTAACAGGGTCGGAAAGAGTGCTCTGTCTTACCAGAGCAAAAGTGGGGTGACCCTCTTTTGCACTGGCTTCGACGATGAACTTTCCGATGTATCCAGTTCCTCCGATGATCAAAACCTTGCTCTTTTCCGCCATTGATGAGTTTCTTCTGCCACGGGAACAAGAACTATGATGGTTCGAAAGAAGAGGGTTTGGATTATATCAGAGTTTCAAATCACGGTCGCGGTCGTGTTTTTAGTTATTTCGGATTTACTGTGATTGTGGCCGTCGCGGGTAACTCGGACAACGGCGAAACCACTATATTGCGGCCGAAATCACGATCCCAGAATTTTTTTTTGTGATTGCGTTCAATTGTATTTAAAGTGTTTTATTAATATCAATCTAATGATCTTAATAGTTAAAAATTTATTATTATTTCTTGAAGTCTCAAGTTTGAGTAACATATATATATATAGAAGAATAATTATCGTTAAATAGTTAAGAGTCTTTGAACATTTATTACCATCTTAAATTTATTAAAAATATTTTATTAATAAAATAATAAAAACAATATAATTGATAAAGTCCAATGAATCAATTTTTAAAGTAATAAATATTTTTTCATTAAATAAAAATCTAATTTTTGTTAATATTTGTTGTAATCTAAAAAAAATTTAGTGGACTTTTCTGTAATATCCTATTCTTAGATTTGTGTTTCAACTCTTATGATTAACACTCTCCTCTGATGATCAAAAGCATGCTCTTTTCATCCATTGATGGATTTCTCCAGCTAGAAGCGAAAACTATGTTGGTTCGATAGAATAGCTTTTGGATTGTGATTATCGTAATGAAATTTGACCGATAAAAGAGCACAATTTATCGATGAAAGAAGGATCTGAACTTGAAAGAATAGTCTTATTGGTGGCGGTGGGAACTTAATGCCCATGGATAGACTTTTCCTACCATATTTATTCTTCAAAACAACAAAAGGGGATAACACCGAAAAATCACCCTGACGCACTTTAATTATCTGTCAGACACCCTTTTATTTTTATTTATAGATCTCACACCTTTTGCAGGAAGGCGCGCCCCATGCACCGCGCTAGTCGCAGTTTATACCCTGCGTCTTGTAAAACGTGTAAAATAACGGGTGTTAATTTAATCGCGTTTGTTGAGTAATATTTTATAAAAGTTTGATTACAAATTAATGTCAAACGGATAAAAATTGAAGAAAAAATTGTGGTGGAAACGTTGATTTTACTAACCATTAAAATTAGAATTTCTATTTTTTCATTTTTTAAATTTGCGTTTAGAAGTAAATTATAATTTTATCCTTACTAATGCATAGACTCCACTCAGTTTTGTATTTATATTTTATTTTAATAATGCAATACTAACATCTTAAAAAAAATTATTAAAACAAATGTTATGATTTATATATTAATAGTGAGTTATATAAAATATATATTTATTATAATTATATTTTTATTTATATTTTTATATATTTTATTATAGTTTAAATTGATATAATTTAAATATAATATTTTTAAATTTATATAGTTTAAATTTATGATTCATATATAAGTGTAAATATAATTTAAATATATTTTAATTTACAACATAATGTCATAATATTTTAAATTGATATAGTTTAAATTGATGATTCATAAGTAAGTGTAAAATAATTTAAATACTATTTTTAATTTACAATATAATCTATAATAGACATTTATTTTTTAAACTTATTTTTAACTACAATCTCAAACAATTAAACTTTAATCTGTACTTTTCTATAATATTTTTAAAAATTACCTTTTAAAAGTTATATCAAATTGATCCGTAGAAAGTAAGAGAGAACTTTTGTTTCTTAAACAAACATAACGCTCAAAGCTGAGTGATTAAAGAAAATAATTTTTTATATAATTTCTTGTAAATAAATAGTGCTTAATTGGAACGAAATTATTATTTGAAAATTATATAAAAACAATTTATAGACTTATTTAAATGTAAATTTTAAAATAAGTGCTTAATTGAAATAATTTTATATTGAAAAATATTAACTGAAATAAAATTTTATTTAAGAGTATATTTAATTCGAAAGGATTAATTTATCAAATAAATTTTTAAAAGATAATCATCATTTAGAAACTTAATGTGTCATTTAACCCTTTTAAAAATAAAATAAAATTTAAATTTTTACAATTAATTCCTTTAAAAAACTATTATAAAATATGAATTCATTTTTAGTAATTAAGTTTTTCTTTAATAATTGCTCCAGCAATAATAATAAGTTGTGTAGGATAAAATTTGCCGTGGTTTAAAATCTAATTCTTGTGTGTGATTGATTCTCCCACCTTTACGATTTAAAAATATTTTGTAAGGAAAATTTAGCGCAAGTCGTATGTCGAAACACACCGATACACTAAAACATATTATTAACTAAATTGTACTTATTAAATAAATATTAGAAAGATAAATTACATATTTTATACTTAAATTATCATTTTTGTTTCATTTTTATATCTGATTTTAATTTTTTTAAACCATTAACGGTAATGTATATGTGGGACATGTCATTTTCTTAATTTTTAATTACTACATCACATTTTTATACTATTTTTTAGTTAATTTTATTCAACCAATTAGGTGATAACACGTGTCATCGCATATGGGGATAAAATAGATAAATATCATTCTTACTCATAGTGTGAATTGAACGTGGATCTTTTACATGAGAAACAAATCAATCAACCATTGAGTTAAGTTAGTTATTTGAATAAATTTCATCACATTTGTATTTAACTTATATAACAGTATCACCACAAAATAAATATTTATTTATGATTATAATATTCAAATATGAGACACTTTAAATTAATGACCGAAAGCTTAGCCACTCAACTATAGTTTGAATTTTATATTGAACTGAATATTTACTTATATCATTATTAAATTAAAAGACTATTTTTTATTTTATTTGGAAATAAAAAATAATTAAATAATTCATATATGTTATAAAAATTATATGAAATCGTTATAAAAATATATTTATAATACTATAAAAATATTTATTTAATTTTTAAAATCATATAATTATTTATTTTATATCATATTTAATACTTACTTATATCATTATTAAATTAAAGAATAAATTTTCACTTTATTTGGAAATAAAAAATAATTAAATAATTATTTATATATTTTTAATAAAATGTATATTAAATAGTATAAATAGTATATTTATAATATTATTAAAAGTATTTTAAAATATTTACTTAATTTCTAAAATCATATTATTTATTTATTTATTTAATTTTGAATAATATTATACGAAACCAAATGATAGTTGAATACTTAACCATATAATTTACCACAAATTTTAAATTAAATAAATAATTTTAAAATGTGTCGCATATTCGAATATTTGACATTCTAGAAACCTGATGGAATGCTATCCAAATACTTTATACGTTTTCATACGAATATTTAATATTCTAAATATTTTAAGGGAAAATACATAAATGGTCCCTAACTATAGGGTGCTATTTTATTAAGTCATTTGATTATTAAAAGTTACAAAAATGATCTTTTGACAATAGAATATTGATTTGTTAAGTCTGTCGACTATTAAAAGTTACAAATTTATCACCAGACTATTGATTATATTCCAAACTTGTCATTTTCTGTTAAACAATTAACGATTGTCTAAGTTTGACGTTAACATGATGACTGAAATATGATAGTCATTTGACAGTTCGTAATATAATGAATAGTCGATAAACTCAACAAAACAATATTATATAATCAAATAATCATTTTGTAACTTCTAATAAATGAGGGACTTAATAAAGTAGTATATTATAATTAGGGGACCATTTATATACTTTATCCATATTCAAATTTTAAATTAACTATTTGAATTATAGTTTGACATTAAATTAATACATAAAAAGGAAGTTTTTGTCAATAAATTTATTGTAGCACAGATGATTAGGGTATTTGCTCTCTCTTTTTAATGAGAGAAAAATTTGTGCGCCAATTGTTATTGAATTTTATTTACATATAAACAGATTATTTTGGTTTTCTTATCAATGCTGCAAATCAATTATCCATATATTATTTGAAGTTTTTGTTGGAAAATTTATATTTGCACAAACACAAAACACGATGACTTACGACAAATAAAACAGGGTTCACATTTTATTGATTGACAGTAAGTATATACTTCTGAGAAACCACATCAACAGAGAATCCGGCACCGGCAGCCGTCCCTCGGAGGCAGTTCCTGAATTATTCAAAACCAAAAAAGATCCAACTTCTCTCAAACAAAACGTCTCAGCCCTTCTTCCAAAGTGGTGTATTTCACTTCGGGGTATAGCTCAGAAGCCTCGAATCCGATGGACGGTTCGATCACAAAGTTAGTGCAGTCACCGTTGACAAAGACCGAGTGACTGAGTGCCGAGAAAAGATTGACCGGCATTGGAGACTCTGCAAGCGTTCGATGAAATGCGTGAATAAAATAACAAAGCATATAAGATTTCCAAATCAGAGGCAGGGGATTTTATCAACCTTGGATCTGTTTGAGCATTTATTCCTCTGGAACGTATGTTTTGTCAAGTGTTTTTCCAATCATTTTCTCCCACAGGGCGACGATCTCGTTGTACGAGTAGGTGTTGTTGGGAGGTCTGATGAAGAGGGTCTTGTTCAATGTTCTCGGGTCGTCGACGGTCTTCACAGTGTAGGTTGCGATATCGGCTTCGTGGTTTATAACAACTGCGAAATGGCTGTGATTACATATATATGTGGTTTGTTCAATCTCAAAACCAAGGGTTCATCAACTCTGTGATCATAATTGCTTATAGTTTACCTTTAGGATTTCCATCGCCTAGGATAACCACCTTGTCTCTCGGAGGAGAGGCGGTTCCCGGCGGTGCCACCGACAGAGATGGAAGAAAGTAGCCTGCAAAGCAGTTGGAAGCCACGTAAGTGTAGGGGATCCCTGCGACCTCGATGGCACGACGGATTTGAGCCCTGACTGCGTACATCGATTTGGCTGGTTCGACCGCAGTATTTAGGTCCAAATCAAATTCCGATGGGAAAAATCTCTGATTCGTGATTATTAAAAAAAAAATCCATTAGAATGTAGAAATTGAGGAAAAGAAGAAGAGTAAACCTAAACTGAGAAAGAAAGGCCAACCTTAACGTTACCAGCTTCTTTAATGGCAGCAATGATCTTAACTTGATCTTCCTGCTGACCGACACCGATGGTTGA